AGAGTTCCTCAGCCAGCTGGCTGAGGAACTCTGGGAATTGAAGTCCACAAGTCTTAAAGTTGCCAAGGTTGGAGACCCCTGCATTACATGATATCCTATCCATCCCAATGTACAGGGCCTGTATGTTGCTCGGAACAGAAGGAGGGCTGAGAAGGGAACTAGGGAGCCCTGACATCCTGGACATAAACTCTTTCAACTCCTTCCCTCCAGATGGCGCTATAGGACAAACAGCTAGAAATGGGATCTCTCTCCCCCCCCCCCACTCTTCCGTAGGCTTAATTCTTGCACTACTGTCTACTGTGCATATATTTACCCATGTAATATGGCTGTAGTATTTATCCTTATGTTCTGCCCCCCTCTTACTGGTATTATGACCATTATGTTCTGTTGCTTTCCATGTTCACTGAGAGCTCCTGCACTGGACACAAATTTCTTCTGTGTTTTAACCACACTTGGCCAAATAAAGTATTCAATTCAAAATGTGGAATACTTCCTTGCCTTCTGTCTCCACTCCTGACAATCGGCAGAAGTAGCATCCAGAATGTCGGTTCTTGAACAATCTAGAAGGAGGGTAGAGGAAAGAGCTTAACGTGAACTGAGTATAGGTGGTGAGGAAGTTGGTTCCTATTTTTGAGTTAAAGGCACATTTGTAGTGGCAGAGGATATGGCTCAGGTAACTTTGTAATGCACCAAGTGCTGTTGATTAGGAGGTGGGCAGTAAAATTTATAAATAACAGTTATTGTCATTCCACTAGTTTCACTGGTGATGTAAATTAAAGGTCAGCGTAAGGGTTTACAAATGGCTAGCATCTTGGAATTGCATATTGATGGGAAACTCGGAGCAATTTCATCAGTAGGTCCACTGCTTTTATATTCACTATTGATTTGAGAGGGGGGGAAACTGAAATATTAAAAGTTTGTTCAATGCTATTACAGTCATTAAACCGTAGCAGTGCTGACGTTGTGCAACAGCCCCCTGTAGAGACCAGACATATTCACATTATATTCACATTTATATTCACATTTAGTTGGAACAAGTGCCACTGATTTCAGTAGTTTAAATTTCTGAATAAACCTAAAACTGAAGAAGTCCTAAAGCTTCTGTAGCCAATCAAAATTTTTGGAGACCCCCGAGTAGGTTTAAACAGCCTCAAAAGGCATTCAGATGCCATTTCCTAGTTCCAAAGAGTCATTATGAACTTCAGTGAATAGTGTTATATTTGACAAAAAACAGCACAGTTTAAGAATATATAATTATGTCCAGAGGGTCACTAAATGATCACTCTCTTTTTAAGTAAAGACATGTCCATTATAGCTCTTTTGATTTTAAAACCAAGGCAATCAGATCCTGTGACTGCCATTTTTTGCCTACAGTTCCGTCAGACAATTTCCGAGGCCTGTATGAGCAGCAAGTTGATTTTCCCCCTGGTCACGTGATCAATCAAGACCATGGATTTTACAGCCAGCAGCACATGGTTTGTTTCCCTCATTGCTGCCATGTAGAAAACTAAAGGAATGAGTCTCTTGTTGCTGTTGTCTTTAGGATGGAGTACTATAGTTGCCTTTGTAAGTATTTTAACATTTTCTTTTTCATTGTAGCACTACACTTGTTTATAAGTAGTTCACAAACTGCTGTGTTTATTTGTAATTACTTTGCAAGCTACTATGTAAGTACTATAATTTTTTTTATTACTATTTTTGTTTGTGATTCTGTTGCAATAGTTTGAATAAATAGTATCCAGCATCTATAGAAAGAAGATTTAACACTTGTAAAGCTCCTTTGTTGTACTGTTCGTTTGCATGTATTGCTTGCAGAAAGATCCTTTTTGTACTGTGCTTGTTCACTTTTGCTTTGAGAATTAGTGTGTACTTCTGTAGATTGCTTTTAGAACAGTTGATGGGCCAGCGGCAGTTCTACCCAGATCCCTACAAATTAACTTCTTACAGCAACGTAAGAACCTGACTGGAGGTGCTGCAATTCTCGCCTTGCCAGAAAGCTGATAAGTGGGTGGCAGCAAGATAACATTATTTAAAATTTCAGTGAATTATAGTTGTGGGTATGCATTGCACAGTAATGGCCCATCCAACTTCAATAGGCCTGTGCTGCTGTGCAAAGCCTAGCTACATGTGCTATAATGAATCACTGGAGGCTTTCAAGGAAAGATTGGACTGCCATCTGTCAGAAATGGTGTAGGGTCTCCTGCTTGGGCAGGGGGGTTGCTCTAGATGACCTACAAGGTCCCTTCCAAGTCTGTCAATCTAAGAGGAACAAGGGGTACTTCTGTGAGCAGCATCTGTGCATAGGCTGAATCTGGACCACCAGTATATTTTATGATCAGAAGAAGTATGGATCTACTTCAGATGTTTCCATAATGGGAGCCATGTAGAAGGAGATTGTAGAGGCATTGTTTCTTCCTCCTCAAAATTACAGGAGCAAAGTCTTTCAGTGAATGGAACTTATATTTACAATCCATTACCTTTGTCCCGGGGATCAGTTTTCTTTTCCTTTGCTGGCTGTTCACAATTTGAACAGAGACCGTTAGCCTTGGCAAAATGAGCAATTTCAATATTTTTTTGAAGGAGTCTGAGAGAACTGCTTTGGTCAGCAATTCAAACATTGATAGAAGAGTGTATGCTATTAATAGACTATTTGAAGTGATAAAGTAAAGTGTATTTATCTTTTTTCAAGAATTTGAAAGTAGAGCCCTCCTCTCCCTCTTGTATGAGCCCCTTTGGTGGCTGAACAAGCAGCAACAGTTTGTGAGGGAGAGCACTTTCTATCAAAGAGACGGAAAGTTCTAGATGTTGCTGACTCACTCAGCTTTGTAGGTTCCACTCTAAGGGGTCAAATTTGTTAAAAAGATGTAACAGGATGATCTTACTCACTGCGGAGGCTTGCTTGCTTGCTTCTGATAAATCCATCAGCTTTCTGCTGTTTTAGCAAAGTGCCGTGTTGCAAAAGGTGTTCTCTGTCGCTTCTTCCTTTTCTCCGTGACTGCAGCGCAAATATGCTTTCGATAAATAGGGCTAGTCAGATAGTAACAATAAAAAAGGTAAAAAAATATTTTTTAAAAATGATAAAATTGTAAAAAGTGATTGTTAAAAGAAGTCAGATAGTTGTTCAAAATAGATGTTGAATGAAAATGCAAGTTGGATGATAAGGTTTTTTAGGAGGGGCTCATGATGAGGATTGTACTTATGTTGCCATCTTGGAATCCTCCCTCAAATTTCAGAGTATTTTTTCTAAAATCCCCATCTTCCAAGTATCGTACAGGTTTAAGTTTATTTCAAATGCTCATTATATAGGAATCATTGATCAATTTCTTTTACACAGTTAATGGAATTAGTGGAATATGTTATGATGATGTTTAAATCATTTGGAGTCTTCCAAGAGAATGGATTAAACTATAATAAGCAAACAGATATTATATGCCCACAAAGATTCAAACTTTTGGAATGTTGTGGCAAAACCATTCCATTCACTTTACACCTTCGGTTGAAGATTTCTTCTAAGATTCCTCTCTCACAGGAAGAGAGGAGAGACAAAGGAACAATTACCATTGAATTAATTATAGTTGTAATAATTATGTTATATAATGGGCATATGTTCTGTTTCAATCTTAGATAATTAGACTGAAAAAAACAGACTCTTGTCCTCTTAGGCGGAACCCCAGAACAAATTCCAGGAGTGCCTGGTTCTTATGTTGACATGAAATAGATCGTACCAGGGTGGATAAAAAATTGATGATTTTTTAAAGAAACAGATGTTTTTATTTAAATTGGATTTTTTTTGTTTAAATTGGATTTTTTTAATTTAAATTGGATTTTTTTTATTTTTATCAAATTTATTTTAATAAAATGCTTTTGGAGTAAAAATCTATCTAAAGATAGTTTTCTATTTAAGATATATTAATAATTTAGTTTATTCACAAAATGGAGCTTAGTTATGTAGTGTGAGGCTGTATATTCTGCAATATTTACATTTTTGATAAACTCAATGAATCCAAGCTCTGCAAGCTAAATAGGAAACCTTCATTTTGTTTGCAAATAATAATATTAAAGATTCTAACTACCAGCAAGAATGAGTCCTTACATTAAAAGAGCACCTGTCATTTCAGATCCATCATGGCGGCGCCTGTTAGCGAGCATCTACTCACCTGCTGCCTGCCACATCCTTCACCTTGTTGTGCCCCTGCCGCATCACCAGCCATCCCATTAAAGTAAATGGGACTGTCAGTGAGTCAACAGCGGGTCAGAGGAGGAGCCGCTGTGGGACAGAGGTGACAGTTACTCTTAAAAATTATGATTTAAATCTACTTCATTTAAATCAAATCCACCCTGGATCATATCACTGCTCTTCTCTTCAATGATACTATATAGGCGACCACTATTACTAGATGACCAATGCTGCTGTCAAGATTAACAGCAGAACGTAGTTCAGGTTTCTCATATTAACAAACTAGGATTGCAGCAGCAGCAGCAATGTCAGCATAATATAAGTTTAGTTACAATGAGGGAATGAGAAAGTAGCCCAGAACAATGTCTTGATTATTATATAGAATTTAGAGTAAATAGTCCTGTTAAACCGATGGTTAGACTTCTTATATTCCTGAGGTTTAACAGGACTATATTCTTAAGTGGTTTAAGAATGCCAATTATTCACTGTGGGTGTTAATTTGACTGAACTATTTCTGTTCAGAAATCTGTGTCAAAAGTATATTTCCTTTTGAGATATATGAAACAGCTATCTGTTAATGAAGGAATTATGTCACTCCTTCTCAAACTATCTATGATGTAAATAGAGAAAAAAAACCTGCCTAAAATTTTATAGGTCAAATATGATTTTGTAGATGTTAAATATGGAACATGCTTACTCTCTGTGAAGTAAGACAAGCATTTTATTATCTTTTATTCGCCATTATATTGTGGAAACATGATGAAACCCTTTGGAAAGTTGTTCAAATATCTCCAACACAGTTTGTAGAAATTATATTGAGATATCATGAAATCTTAATGTTGATTGTGGGATTTAGCTTCCAAGTATTAATACATTAAAGACTGTTCCTTTATTATTAGTTTATAAAAGAGAATGAAATAGAGATCGATAATGGAAATGAAATGATATTAAGAATTGTTTGGTATTAAAAATATATTTTTATTTCCAGATGTTCTAAGTAGCATTTCATAAAATTTGGTTATCTTGTGGAAATCTCTGACTGTATTATAACTATATTAAAAAGAAAACAATGTTTTATCTTTTTTTCCAGCCATTCTTTCATTTTAGTTATCATAGGTAACTTACTGGATTCAGAAATATCATAGCCATCTACAGAAAGTAGGTATGAAGAAATTAGTTGTTGAATTACTTAATTATTTATACTGCATGTATTTTATTTATTCATTCACAGCTGCCTCAAATACTGAGCAGCTTACAACAATTTAAAAAATTATAAAACATTAAAATATTAAAAATATAAAAACCATATGAAAACTATGTAACAGAATCTGCAGCTGAAGTATAAAAAGCAGTCAACATCAATTTTTTTATTTTGATTTATATAGTTGCTTATATCAAATACTAAAATTCCATTTATTTCTAAAACATATATTCAGGATATGCAGTGTTAAATTTCTTGGGTAGAGAATGATAATTTTGCAACCCAGAAGCCTGCCTTTTAAGATCTTTTGGCCTAATAAACATTAAAATAGCATTATATTTTTATATATTATGTCAATTTTTACTAGTCTAGAGATTCACTGTGGCAGTAATTAATGTATGATCTGTCACAACTAATATGACATAAAACTAGTTCATTTTCCATTGTGATTTTTATGTGTTTACAACAATTTGAGAATACTCTTTGTTAACCCTGGAATTTACCAAGACTGTTCCCCACTTCAAACCTGCTAGGATTCGAAAGTAATTTGGGATTTGCCCTTGAAGTTTGGATGCTTGGTGCAACTGAGACTTGTTAACTGCAGCAAAAATGGGCTTGGGTTGGATTGCCTCTTTCTTGTCTCATGATATCCTTCTGGATTTTCCCAAGAGGTTAGGAGTGGGAGACATGGAGTTTTGGTGGTTATCCTCTTCTGGGACTGAAGTTGGGGGAAATCAGTCAGACTGAGGTCCTGCTTTGCAAGATGCCTCACAACGCTGTTCTCTATTCATTTCTTTTTAACATCTACATGAAGCAGCTAGGGGAAGACATCCTTCCATATGTCATGCAATATCAGTGTGCTATTGATACCCAGTTCTATCTCTCTCTGTCCACAGGATACTTTTGAGTTCTGTTCTGGTATATGAAAAACATTAGTGCCTGGATGGGGAAACAAACTTTGACTTAATTCAACCAAGACTGAGGATCTATGAATTTGGCATTTCTGATCCCAGGACTGAAGAGTTTTCATCTTTGGCTCTTGGGAATATCCAGTATACAATTAACAGGTTATCCTAATTCCTGCCTCATATCCCAGATGTATTATAACCAAATCTAGATGTATTATTATAACCTAATCCCTCAAAGACTATCTAGAAGCCCAGAAATCACCAAACCATGTAGTGCCCGCTCCTTGACAAGCTGTTGGGGCCCCCAAATATATGGTTGGTTCTTATCAAATTGGCCTTTGAAAAGACAGTAAGTCTGGTTCCTTTTTCAGTCATTGGGGTCAAGAAATTGGAATTTCACCTGGTGTGTTTTAAGGCAAATTTGCATACCTGATAGTTTTCTAATTTCATATGCTGTTTTTAGCTGTACAGGTTTATTATTGTTTATTTGTTGATTTTATGTCATCCAGTCACATTTGTTGAAACTCTTTCTGTATTCATATCCCAAATAAATAAATGTATATAGTCCTATCAGACAACTGTTTCACATTTTTTATTCAATCCCTTTTATCTCCTAACCTTCTGATGTTTTTCATTCACACGTGCACATAGATATTTACATGTATATTATACTGTATCCACATACACATTTGTGAGTGTAGATGTATGTCAGACATTCAGTCATTGTATTTTACTCATTGACCAAATACATGTATGCATTATTGACATTATACACGTAATACATGCATGCACATACCATATATCTTAAATTAAATAATGGCATTATTATTATTTTAAGTCTGATAGAAACCATGTATAGATATTTCTCAAAACCATTTACCTCTTATGAAGTCAAAGCATATTGAAGTACATTAAGACTTGGACAGATTTTTTGGAAATTTTAATTAGCTGAATGTAGTATAGATAGAGAGGTTAAGATTTTTTCATCTTTTATAACATTAAGGTGCTTCTTCCATGGCAGCTCCATCGATTTCTAGTCTTTGGTTTAACTGGAGCTGAACTCTCCATTATTTCTCTTGGATTTGAAACTGTTGCTAAGTTTGCATAAAAGAGTTATAGCATTCTGAAATATACTGCCTGACTTCCTTATGAGAAGAACCAGACTCTTAGCCAGAACTGGTGGCATTTATAGAACACAGTGGGCCATGAACCATAATTTAAAATCACATGGTTTATAGCACTATGTAAATTGGCCATTGAGTGCCTTTTTCAAATCGGAACATTCTTATATTTCTCCATGCAGTTAACTTAAAAAAAATTTTTTTCAAAAAAAGTTGTCAGTCATGTAACTAAAAATGTTTATGCACACTCTTGCATTCAGATTAATAATCAGTTTTGATTATATGTAATTATATTATAAATATTTTAACTAAGAGAACTAAAGGAATCCAAGATACATAAATATATAAATATTGTTCAAGTAATTTTCCGTATATGAAAGTTTTTCCAAAACAGATATGACAAAATGCATGGAAAGCCACAAATTAGTAGTAGTATGCCAGAGTTTTATTTTTTGCAGTATTGTGAAAGCAAGAGGTCCTGTTTGCAGAAGAGATCTGTATATCTCAACAAGATTCTTCTCCCATTCCCCTATAAAGATAATGGTTAATAATCATTGCCTTTCGGGGAAATCCATCCATTTGCTCTGGTCAATTGAGGGTCCTGGCTACAAATAAAGTACCTTTTTAAAAAACAAGAATTTTTGATGAGTTAATAAATACACAAATACATTGATGGATAATTGGCTTCAGAAAATGCACTGCCTCCACCTGAAAATACTTAGCTATGTTTTATAGATGAAGATGTGATTGCTTAGCATTTGCTCTTACAAATATCCCAGTCCAGGTGGAACAATTAAATAACTAATACGGAACCTTGGCCACTATATTTTTGGCTTTAGCGGTTTGAATTGTAGCTGCTTATGATAGGCCCCAGTATGTGCGAGTTCGGGCTAATGTTTCTAACACCATATTCTTGAGCACAAGTTCTCAGGGCTGTGGTCTAAGTGTATTGTTGTTCACCCTGTTGACCCATGACTATTGTGCAATGTTTGTAACCGTCCATATTGTGAAGTATGGAGATAATACAACAGTAATGGATGATTTATTACTGTTAATAATAAATCATCCTGAACCTTATTCAGGATGATAATAAGGAGGCTTACAGAGGGGAGGTGGTGGACTAGTGTAATAAGAACAGCCTGGTTCTAAATGTTGGAAAAACAAGAGATCATTGATTTCAGAAAAGACAGGCACACCCATACACCTGTGATTTAATGTGGAGTTCTGTTAGTAAGTTTCTGGGTGGGCAGCTAACTAGGTTAGCTTGGTCACTCAACAGTGAGAAACGGGAAGTTTGCAGGGTCTGCATTTTGGGCATTGTATGAGAAGAGCATATCTTCCCCTATCCTTACTATTTTCTGTAAAGGGATGATTTAAAGCAGGGGTCCCCAACCACCGGTCCGCGGACCGGGACCGGTCCGTGGAACAAGTCCTACCGGGCCGCTGGTTTGCTGGGCGCCGCCATCTTTTTTTGATGAAAAAGTGCTTCCGGTGAGCTTTTCCGGGTAGAAAGCTCACCGGAAGCACTTTTTCATCAAAAAAAGCCATTTCTACCCAGAAAAGCTCACCGGAAGCGCTGGCGCTGCCATCTTTTTTTGATGAAAAAGTGCTTCCGGTGAGGTCACCGGAAGCACTTTTTCATCAAAAAAAGATGGCGGCGCCCAGCTGATGCCGGTACCGGGCCGCGGCACCCAGCTGATGCCGGTACCGGGCCGTGGCATAAAAAAGGTTGGGGATCACTGATTTAAAGCATCCTATCATTGCAAATTACTGTTTGGTTTGGCAGTACAGGTAGTCCTCAACTTAATAACAGTTCATTTAATGACTTCAAAATTACAACAGCACCGAAAGGTGACTTATGACTGTTTTTCATGCTTACGACCATTGCAGCATCCCCATGTTCATGTGATCAAAATTCAGACACTTGGCAGCTGGTTCATATTTACAATGGTTGCAGCATCCCAGGGTCATATGATCAACTTCTGTGACTTCCTGACAAGCAAAGTCAGTGGGGAAGCCAAATTCCCTTCACAACTTGGTTACTAACGGCAAGGATTGACTTAACAACTATAGCAAGAAAAGTCGTACAATAGGCAAACCCCTCTTTAAAAATGTCTAACTTAGCAACAGAAAATTTGGGGTCAGTTGTGGTTTTAAGTCAAAAACTATTGTATTACTCTTGATAGAAAGGCTATGCAGAATGTTGTGAAGATAGCAGAAAAGATTATTGGAAGTTCACCTTCTTCTATCCATGATATGGCATATAAGCGTTGCTTGACCAGGGTCCACAGTATTGTCAGGGATGCTACACATCTTCTCAATGACCAGTTTTGTTATCTTCTGGGAGGAGACCACATGGTATCCGAAGCAGAACGAGATTTTGCAAGTTTTCTGTGAGCATATGGTATGTATGTATGTGTAGATGCTATCTGAAGTTTTGTATAAAAGTGATTCTTAGTCACACTAAAACTGATGTACTGGCTTGTATAAAAATTCTTAAACCCATTTAAGACCAAAATCATGACTATCTTTGACAACATCCAAAAATCAGTTCCCAGTTTTGTGACAATCTGGCACTACGGCTGGTTTTATATCTGTAGGGTAGATACACCTGTAATTAGAATAGAGGTCTCTCTTTCTCACTCTAATTTTTGTTACAAACACTGCAGTTCTGGGAAAAATAATAATTCTATTATTACAAAGCATACATGCATATTTTTGTTATATAAAATATACAACATATTACCAAACATCTACCAAAGTATAAATTTAACAATCTAAAAATATACTAAAATTTATTTCTGTAATTTACAAGAATGAAAGCCCAACATATACAAGTGAACTTCCCTTCAGTCACAGCATATTTAGGAGTTTGCTAGACTTCTTTTTTTCTGAGTATTAAAGGACCCACATTATCGCCCGTTGACTCATTGTGTTTGTTGTGAGAGCCATCACAGACAGGGAACTGAAACAAAAACAGAAAAAGTAGGTGACCTGAATGTTAATAGTTTTAGGACTATAATTGAGATTGAGGGACAGGTTACCCTCAAATACATTAATAAACACAATACAAACTCAGATGAGGTTGGTAGGCTAGTGTGGGTAATAAATCACCAAGGAGAAGTATCCAAAATGTAAACTGAAATCTAAATGACTCTCTTGGTGCTTTAAATTATATAGTATTTTTATTCATCACCAATACTAAGAGCTATTGAAGAAGTTGACATCTAATATGTATTCTTTAAAACAATGGCTTAAACAGGAGTGAGCAGTGATTAGAAATGAATAGCTACAAAAATATTCTGTCCAAAATCTATTCCTATTTAGTTTAACCTCAACAATTGGCTTGGCTTGCCATATGTTAAGGTATAAAGTGTGGTTTATATATCACAATAGGCTTGGTTTAAAATATCTACATTAATAAACTTTACTTTGAGAATTCATTTGATGCTGGCTGTACTTTGCTTATATCTTCACTTTCCTCCTCTTTAATTACAACTGTCTGGTGGCAATAAAATTATATTAAATTACATACAAAATGTAGAGAATTCTGCTTAGTGTAAGACACGTTCAAAGAATTGAGTAAAGGTGGCAATTTGGACACATCAAATCATAAATAATGAGACCACAATTTTATTGGGTTCTTTATCCAAATTCAACTATGGTTTATGATATCGCATAATATGATTTATAACACTTGTCCTAATCATGGAATTGCATGCTATCCTTAGCCAATTAAATAAAATGGACAGATCACATCTATATAATAGCTGTTGTTCTTCTCCAGCAAATTCACCCTTGCAAAATTCAACAACATGTCGGAAGCTAAATGAAAGCAAAAGAGTTTAAATCATTTGAATTATAATTCATGGTGAATATATATGGCCTGGTAGCTTGGGTTTGCCAATTACCAGGACCATGCTGGTTCACAAAAGCACTTACAAAGCTCTCAGCATTACTTTCCCAATGATCCTGGAGGACTATAGCCAACAATTTTTTCAGCTACTAAATAGATTTAAAAATGCAGGTATTTAGTATTAATTCTTCACTGATGATAAACTGTGTAGGGCATTCTACCCTGAAGTGCACAGTTGTGACTTTTAAAAGAAGCGAACTACTCTATATCATAAGAGACAAGAATGATCTTAAGTAAAAAGGGTATAGCAAATTCAATAAAACTCACTGTTTTAGAGCGCCAGCATCTGCAGTACACTGCCTTAGTGTGACATAGATCCTCAATGTTGATTTCGTTTACTACTTTGGGATTCTCCTTCTGGATCTTGAGATTAATCAAGCTGTCCTTCTGCTGTTTCTTCTTGGGAAGGAATGGGCGAATAGCAAGATACCCCAGCAGAGCAAGGACACCCAGGAAAGGCAATAACCGCAGCCATTCTGAAACTGAGCACATGCCACAAGCATGTTATAGATCAATATTCTGCAGCAAACCTTATACAAACATATACAAACATTAATTCCCTTCTTGTTAATTATCCCAGGGCCAGGACTAGCATTCCAAAGGATTGGGAATGGTTAGGAGAAAAAAAAACAATGTGTGAAACACATTAACCTTGTTAGTTTTGAGCTAGAAAACACACTTTCACTCCCATAATTTTGTACTGTGCAAAGGTGCTGGTCCCAATTGTCACTAAAGAAGGACTACCTAGGCATCTAATACAGTGTCTTGAATGGGGACAGATATTCCCCTCTGCCAGGCAGCCACATATCCTCTGCAGAGAATAGATACAAATTGCAGAATGATATCACCAATTTTAGTATAAAAAGCAGAGTCATTTTGGGTGATATGGTGTACTACAGTAGAATTCTTTGGAACAGAAATAGGAAACGAGCAGGAAGGTATAACTAAGAGCACAATGCAATGCCAAATGTAACAAGTCTTTATTGCTTCTTCATCTTGCATCCCAATGAAGTGGAAATCAATTTTTAAGCTTTTTGCTGAAGACAAACATTAATTAACAAGGAAGAAGTAGAAAAAATATAAAAACATAATCAACGTTGGTTTGTCATAAAAAGACACTCTATACGTGCCAAAAGAAGATCCAGCATATCCTTTCAAGTTGTATTTTGCTGCTGCTTTCCTTTGGTCTGCATAACACATTGGATTGGGCTACAAAGGGACCAAACAGATTGTGATTCAGCATACTTTTTGTTTCCTTGCTTTAAAATGTAAACAACTTGGAAAGAAAGTAAGAGGGGGGACTCAAAGAGACAACAGAAGAAAAAGAACAAAAGCATGTCATGTTTCACATGAATCATTCCACTTACAGTTTAAACGTATTATACTTAATTTCAGAGACTAAAGATGTATTTGGTATGATTTAAAAGTAGATACTGCTAATACAGAATTGTGAAATATTTTAATAGAACACTGCCTCTCGTTAAGGTTAGATAATCCAAATTCATCTTGCAGTAACTGAAATAGTTTAAACACTTGATTATGAATAAAATAATCTGAAATATTACCTTTTCTCATAACTCCTCCCTACCTTCCCAAAGTGATTTGCCTGCAATTTTTAGATTGAGTTTATCACATATTGTACATGGATCATGTGAGTAAAGGCTGAAATTATACTTTTGTCCTAATGTTTTCTACAATGTATCTTAACTGCAGCCTTTACTATAAAAAATTCAACAGAACTATAGCTACAAAGGGAACCAAGGCATTGAGATGTGAGAAAATCAAGTAATAACTTTCTAAATGTGCTCATTGTGGTAGTCTGGTTTTGATTTTTTCCAAACAAATAATCAGAATATTTTTTATTTAAAAAAATTAATCCCACTTTTATTATTTTTATAAACAACTCAAGGTTGTAAACATATCTAACTCTCCTTCCTCATCTTGTTTTTCCTACAACCACCACCTTGTTAGGTGATTTGGGCTGAGAGACAGTGACATGTTCGAAGTCAGTTTTCATGCCTAAAGTGAATTACAATTCAGTCTCCTAGTTTCTAGGAGAATAATACTAATAACGTAATAGACTGGCTCTCAACGGAGATGATTATCAAGTACTTGGTGAACTTTCATAAAACCAGATTGTGTAGGACAGATTACTAGTTGTCTTTAATATATGTGCTGGGCTCGCTAAATAGTTTTTTTTAAATAAAGTTTTATTGAGTTTTAACAAAACAAATAAAACATTTTATTTGAGTACAGCATGGTTCCGGGTTATCACATTTCCATACAGCCACAATTTCATATGCATATTCATCTTATATATTCAACTTCATATCTTATTACTCTTGAACTTCTCACAATTTCTCCCTTTACTTCTCTTAATTTTCTTTTATGATTATCTCATTTTCTTCTTATTTAATTGTATTTCTTTTACCTAAATTTCTATTTCTTTTTATTCATTATACTTATACTTTTGTCTGTCTTGTTTACAATTTCATTATGTTCTCTTCCAACATTCTTAAAAAGCAAAATTCCCCCTATGATTGCCAATCAAAGTGCAACACCTTTAAATCTTCTTATTATTATCATATGAAATTTCATTAAACATTGAATTTGTATATTCTAAAATTATAACATTCAAATTTCTAATATCTATTTTATATCTTGTAAATCTCATCATTCAGACTCTGCTTGGTACTTCCCCCTAAAAATGTAAAAAGAAAAATTCTAAAAAACATAGCAAAAACAATATATATATATATATATATATATATATATATATAAACAATAGTGAACAAAATAGTTATTCAAATTCATTTACAAATTCATGTAAATCTTTCACATTTCTTTTCAATATTTATCAATCTTTGAGAACAGTTGAAATGTTTCCCTCCCTTCTTCGTTATTACTTAACTGTTAATAAGCATACCATTGGATAATCATACAGTTTTATTTACTATTAATAAGCAAAATAATTATTCAAATTCATTCTAGTAACTGGTATAAATTGCCTTATAAATCTTTCCCATTTCTTTTCAATATTTTATCAATCTTTAGAAACAATTACAATGTTTCCCTCTCTTCTTTATTATTGCATTAATTATAAACATACCATTACATAACAATAGTTTTATCTCATAGATTATTTACTTATTTCATTTCTAACTCATTACAGTATTCTACTGTCACATCACTATCTTTTTTACCTTTTAGAATCCTCACTTTTAACTTAATTTAGCCATTGTCTCTGTGTTTTCTAGCTGAGTAAATCCCTTTAATCCCAGTACGTTTCCCCTTTTTCTTTATTTCCTGCTTTTATCCCTCATGAGTTCTTTCCCTTTCTATCTTCCCCCTCTTTTTCTCATCCCCTTTTTTATACCCTTCTCTAATTTTCCCTTCTGTGGTTTTCTTTTCTGTTTCTCCTTGCTGTTATACTTCCTTTTCAGACTATTTTTCTTTTTGGCTGTTCCCTTTAATCTCAAACTTTTAACTCCTTTCCCCCCTTTTCCCCTTATTACCACACTTTGCATTATTTGATCATTGAAAATGGCTTCTTCTTTGTCCCGCCCTTCTTCTTGCTCTTGAAGCTTTTCCTTTTGCTTTTCATAGTTCAGGATCTCCATTTCAAGAAATTCAAATACGAACCCAAAGGATCTTCCTCCCCTTTCTGCATCTTCTGTTTTTTAAGACTCATCTTCAATTCCTCCAGGAGTGTTGCCATTTTAAACACTTTTGAACAACCACCCAATTGACTTTAAGGAAAAACAGAGAAGAAAGAAAAGACCAATGCCAAAAAACACCTTTTTTTAATATCACCAGGTGATCCCAGACTGTTCCTTCTTGTTTCTTTCCTTTACTTTTCCTTTCCGTGGGTTACTGTATCCTTTAATAAGGTTTCAGTTACAATGTATCCTCGGAAGTCTTTTCAAAGTTTCACCGTTAATCCTCTTTATTTTTCCAGGTGGCACTCCATTTTTCCATGATTCCAAGTTCCACCCTTTTGCCTCTACTCTTCTCCTTTTTAGGGCTTTAAAATGACCAAAGAAAAAATCTTTATTCTCCTTTCGACACTTAAATTTCAGCTTAAAGTTTCCTATTAGTGTCAAGGTAAATTAGTACAGATTTCTTTCCATATCATTTGTAATTGTCAATATAAAGGTTTTTTAAAAAAGGGTTTTTAACCTCCTTTTCTCTCTCCTTCGCTGCTTAAAAGTCTTCTTTCAGAAGTATCCCTCTAAGTACTTTTAGATTCAGGGTACCTTATTTAGATGTTCTCTGTTGTTTAGCCTGGTCTGTCCTGCTTTTCTCTTTGTCTTCCTCCTGCACAATCTTATCCAGTCGGGTTCTTCTTTGAGGTGGCCATTTCTGACCACCGCTGCAACTGCCTTCGGGAAAGGGAGTTTAGACCAGCCAAGGAGGAGAGATGCGGCTCCCCTTCACTTAGCTAGCAGTCTCCCCCCTCTTCACCACCTCTATGGGGTGGCTTCAGCCCCAAATCCAAAGGATTGGGGCGCTCCAGCAGCGAGCACAGATCGAAACCGTGCACGATCGCGGATTTCGGTCTGTCGCTGAAGAAACCCAAACCGGAAGTTCCGGCTCACTAAATAGTTTTTTGTAAACGTTCAACAAGAACCAAAAATGGTTTGCTTAGTCATTGGTTTGTGGAACATTTATTTACCGCATGTTTATTATTTTTACAAATAATCAGTTGTTCAGTTCACAACCACTGTTAAATCAGAATTAAATCAAATTATGGCATAATTTGTCCTGTGAACCGGGTCCCTAAGATTTGTAAGCCATGTTTTATGGCATTGTGTATGCAAACTAAGTTGACATATTCAATGATTAACATAACATGTGAACTCAGTTATTTTTAAGTATGGTTAAAATCATGAAAATTAGATTCATGCAACATGCTGTATAAAATTATTGAATAATTTGATGAATTAACACAATAGCCTGGCTAACACAATATGCTTATGGTAAGACAGTGATTGACTTCCTAAAATATCCTGTACCTGAAACTAGTAAAAAAACCTAATCTGAGGTGTTATGTGAAGTAATTGAATAAAACGTAACACAAGGGATTTTATATTGTGTATGTTTATTTACTGTATTTTTATTTATTAATAATTTATTATGTCTTCATCAGAACAATAAAAACCAAACTCTGGGTTAGAATACACAGCTTGATGGAAAATGTGGATGAATATCCTTGAAAGCAAAAGCAGAAGACCATTTTATGAAACCACATCTAATATGAACGTACAAAGTGGAGTGAGAGCAGAAGCACTGATCCCTCGGCCTCTAGAATACATAGGTCTTCCACTGGCATTGCAGGAGCTCAGTATATTAGAGTTTGACAGGAAAATCTATTTTATGTGGTACGCCTTTTACTGTGTCTTGAAACTTCGATGGTTACCCAGAAATTTTTTACGCAAAATAACTGCACAATGTTTTTTGAGTAATAGCCTTCCATAGAAGCATCATTTTACCTCATGACCAATTTGCTAGGCTAACATAAGAAAACACCATATTCTGGGGGGGCAGCAATCCAGGCAGGGCTGAGCTTCTCTATCTACTGTAACTCTGCCAATAACAGATATCTAGCCTAATGCAAGAACACACATGAATGGAACAGGAAGAGGCAAATAAGGCAATAAAATTGTGGACCTGAAGGTGACCTTCCGTGTGTACAGGAAAATGTTCTGTACTTCACAAATTGATAGATAAAATTTCCAAAGCTGCAGTCAGTCAAGAAAGGCAGGCTGAACAAGATTCCTTTTCTCTCAAAGCATTTTATCCTCTACCCCATGTTGGCCTTTCAACTGTGTTTGTCACTTCTAACTAGTTTTGAACTGTGTAGTTATATAGAGTCTACAGAATCAGTACACTCATTTGAGTGAAGCTTACTTATCTCTCCAAACTTCTGAATTTATTAGGCAGGTCAGCCTAGGAACAGTTCATAGCTGGAAACAAGACTTTTTAAAAAATGAAATAAAAACAGTTGATAGATATGCTATGTTTATTGAGAAAACTATCTGTGTAAACTTTCAAAATAAACTTAATCTGCTTGCAGAATTAACTCGTTTTTGAGTTTGCACAATCAAGTCAACTGAATTCACACAAAATGACCTTCTCACAAATTAATCAAGGTTAAAAGTAACCAACCTTAGTATGCTTTGTATATACAGCTGTTAGATCTTTGACAGACTTTGGCATGTTGTGTACATCTAACCAGTAGTTTTAATAGAGGGAAAACAAGATGAACATGCCATTTGGCAAATATATTTATCTCATGCTGAGTCAGGAAAACTGATCGTGCTCAGGGATGAAAGAAGTGATCCTTGCTCTATTAACACAAGAAAGAGAACAAGTCAAGCGTTTGGCTTACTTTCTCAGGAAGTTCACATACCTTTCCTCTCCAGCTACTGTCACAAAGTTTATATTGATCTCCAACATATATATTCCATTACATGCTATGATAGAGGTAGGCTGAAGTGCACTGATGATGTTACCTAGTTTGGTAGTGAAACATCTGCAAGAAAACTACCAAGCTCAGAAGCACCAAGGACTCCACAGTTCAAACTATAATTATTCTTTTATTGGTATAACAACTCTTCAGTGATGAATGATTTAGAAATATGAGAAATAAAAATATCACTCAGGACAGAAACATGCACAGAAACAGATCATCAGGGCATAATTAACTTGTAAGAATAAAAGAGAAAAAAAGTAACTTATCCCAATGAAGAATGTTGGCTATACTTCATGGCATGGGACTGGGTTGCCTGAAGGACCACCCATCCGCAATTGCATCTGTCTGTCCCCATTAGAGCTGGCAGAAAGGGAAGGCATTGTCTGTTTGACTTGGCTGGTCGAAGCAGGGGGCCTTCTCTGCCCAGGTGCCCTGCTTGTGGAACATTCTCCACCTTCCAGAGTGAAGTTAGTTCCATCACTGCTAATGTTTCATTAGTCTGTCAAGACCTGACTTGGAGTTCTCTTAAGATGGCTCTGGCATTCTATTTAATCTACTCACTCCTCTACTGTATGCTTATATTAATTTTTACACATTTTTATTTAACGGTTGTACTGTATGCCACCCAAAGTCACTTCATGGAAGATGGGTGGCCATATAAACGTACTAAATGAACACTTCCTTGCAAAATTTCTTGTATAAAGTTATCATCATTGCTTATGTACCTTTTTACTCCACTAGTTATCTGAGTGGCTTGAATAAACAATCAAAACACATAAAACTGTAAAATCAAAATCAATATAGACACAAGATACATGATTCAATAATCTTGGTTCTACAAATATGATTTCACTACTTACCTTATCCTGTAAATAAATACACAGTGAAGTGACAGAGGACAAAATCTAAAATTTATTTCAAAATCGTATTGCCATTGAAGATAAACATGAATGAGTAAAAGTTCCGTACAATTTTTCTTTTACATATTATATAAAGGTTTTCTCAAGCAGAAACTCCTGGTGATATTACAGAGGGTTCTGGCAACAGCATGGAAATGGTTTGTGTTTGCCTTTCAGGAAACATTTCCATTTTCTACAGCCATAGAATTACCTAGCATGTAAATTAGCTTACTTTTTAAATCAATAATTTATTGAAGTCACCCAACTCCCAAAAGACAGAGTGGCTTACAATATTTAAAAGACATCAATGAGGATACATACTGCCCAGATCAAACTGCATCAATAACTTTAAAAAAGGTGATCCAGATGCTGTCATCTTCTGGGAAACTACATTATCTACAGCAACATTTAAATGTGCCTAAAATTGCACTGGAAAACAGACCCTTTGGAATATGAATGTAAAAACAACAACTTTAGAAATAAAACTATTGTAGGATGTGACTTTTACAAGCTATTGAGACAAACCACAATGATGAAACAAGCAGGACAACAGGATCATTCAAACAATCTTTTGTATTTGCATTAAGATAGCGGATGCATGTAGATTAAGTCATGAGTTTCTATCAAAACAAAGCTCGTTTTGACATCCCTCCCCCCAGCATGGAAGACTAAAAGCCAACCTGGCACCACTCAAGTATGGATTTATCCACCATGACAAACCAGTGTATAACACTGGCTTCATGGATGGCTGCAAGCCAGTCATGAGATTTTTTCTTTTTCTTTACAAAGAATAAGCCAGCCCTAAGCGAACCACCACGTGCGAACCTAAGTTACATTCTCTCTGCTGGAAGACCAACCAGTAAGCGTTGCATGTTTCCCGGCCCTGGAACCAAGCCAGCCAAGGGAGGAGCCGCAGAAAGGCTGCGGAGGGAGCCTCACGTGGAGGGGGATACTGGGAACTGTAGTCCAAGACAGCTGCAGGACGCGGGCGGAGGAGGCTGCCCGACTGAAGGCTCCCCATTGAATCCGACGGAGTTGATTTCCGAATCGACTTGAATTGTGCAAGCGTCCATTCCCTGAAGCCGAGCGGAGAGCGAACGCCCCCCACCCCCGTGCCCTCCCATCCCAGACAACCCGGCGCTGCCCCCGCCTAACCTGTCAGCCTTAGGAAGCCGCCGACGCTCTCCGGCAGCGGCAGGCGCTTGAGGTAAGCCGGCAGCTGCACTTTGACGATGCGGGCCAAGCTGTCCAGCACCATGGCGCCGGGCGAGGGTTCGGCGGGGCGGGGCGGGACGCCGCTGGGCTACCTCCGGCTCCCGCGGCGGACTTCCATGCCAGCCTCGGACTTCGCCCTCCTTGCCCCGCCCAGAAGCAGTGGCGCTCCCGGCCACGGAGCATGCGCGTCACCGGGGGGGGGGGGGGTCGGGGGCGCAGGAGCGGACTACCGAGGGAGGAGTGTATTTTTTTCCTCGCGGCTTGCGAGGCGTTTGACGAGCCGGTGGCCTGAGATTTGGGAGGAAGCCCGGGAGCTGCGTCGGAAGGTGTGAGGAGTTGAGCAGCGTCGCCCTACTTAGAAACGGCGAAGGAAAGTAGGCCAGACTACGAAGCGGGAAGATCCCTTGGGGGTAAACAAGCGCTTCTGATGCGCTGCTGGATTGAGAGAGTTGAGCTTGTTACCGTTTGGTTGGAGCAAAACACTTTGCGAATCCAGGGACGCCACTCTAGGATGACGTTATCCGAAGACCACTGGAAATAGGTTACCATTTGGTGTAGCTAATGTTTCCCATCTGACGGTTGCCCAGAGTTTTATTTATGTGGATATGTGATATATGACATGACCCGAGAAGCTGAGCAAGACTCCGAGACATTTTTGTTAATGTAGGAGTTTTACTTTCAAAAATTATAAACAAGTCAGGCTGCAGCCTTCAACTGCTTCCACTAATCTTCATCAGAACAGCAAGAACAATTTCTTAGAAAAAATATTTAGGTTGGAATCTTTGAACTGTAATTATGACGGAATAGCAAAACAGGGTTCCCCAAACTTGGCAACTTTAAGACTTGTGGACTTCAACTCCCAGAATTCCTCAGCCAGCTTTGCTGGCTGAGGAATTCTGGGAGTTGAAGTCCACAGTTGCCAAGTTTGGAGATCTCTTGAGCAAGAAGATTGCACTTTTGATCATTCTAGTTAGTAGGGCTCTCTCCCTGTCCCCCTGTGGATAAAATGTGGCAATCGAGGTTGACCTTGGGAGTACACTTGTTCCTTCTAATTTGTGTATGTAATCCACAGCCTAAAATCTGGGTGCTTCTATATGGCAGCTGCTTAGTTTTTTTAAGGTTCTGTTTTCAACCAAAAAAAGTGGGAGGAGACAAGCATTCAAGATCATTTGTTCTTTCTGGAGAGTCCCTAATATAAGTACACAAAATGTAGTTACCGAACCGGTAGTAACACCTGTTGAATCCCACCCCTGGCCTCTTCCCCTTTGGAAGGAGGACTCTAACTGTTTTGTCTAATGAGTTTAACTCAAATCTGAATTCTCCAAAGTGATACTAATCCTAAAAATGTAAAATATTATTAGTGGATATACATATGCATAAACATCCATAATAACCCATGAACTCAGAACAATGACATGCACTTTGTGACATCAAGCAAATGAGTGTAATTACAAACACTAATCACAATTGCAATCAAAATCATGTCATTTGTTTACTTGATCTCCTATGAACACCCATGACAACAATGTTTAATCTTCACTCAGTGTCTCAAAATGAACTTTGTATATAACTTTAGTTTCACAAAATTTGGGAAGACAAATGGGTTATGTAGTATGCTATATGAACCTTATTACTTTCATATCATGTGAAGTATTAGTGATCCACTGAAGTATTAGTACCACTTTATAAAGCTTTAGTAAGGCCACACCTGGAATACTGCATCTAGTATTGGTCACCACCCTACAAAAAATGTTTACTCTTTGGAAAAAGTGCAAAGAAGAGCAACTAAGACGATGAAAGGCCTGGAGACTAAAAAACATGAAGAACGGTTGCAATTTGGATTTGGCTAGCCTAGAGAAAAGAACTAAGGGTGACATGATAGTAGTATTCCAGTATTTGAGAGGCTGTAGCAAAGAGCAACTTATTTTCCAAAGCACCAGAGGGTAGGACAAGAAACAATGGATGGAAACTAATCAAGGAGAGAAGCAACCGGGAATTAAGGACAAACTTCCTAATGGTGACGACAATTAACCAGTGGAACAGTTTGCCTTCAGAAATCATGGGCACTTCATCACTGGAGGTTTTAAGAAGAGTCTGGACAGACCTGGACTAGAAGATGTCCAAGGTACCCTTCCAATTCTATTCTGATGGATGGATGGATATGGTTTATGATTTAGTGTGTTGTGCAAACTCAGATACTGTGATTTATTCAACTTACCATAAGTAAAGGATGAGGCAAATCAAATTGTACCCAGTAGGAAATTCCTGTTTAATAAAGTCTTTGGCTGAATTCATACATTTTGTTTAAACCTTAGAGCACAGTATAAGTTACAATGAAACAATCACATTATTATGTATTATGCATAATATCTGCCTTTGCAGTCTGTTTTATTAATCATTCTAATAGCTGTCTTTGAATTCTGAAATATTGTTTTTCCTCAAAAGAAAAACTCTTCGCATTAAATTAAAACACTCTGAGGAAAAATTGTTAAAAACAGCTGTGTATATTTTATTTCAGCCCATGGATTGTTCTAGAATTTGTTGTAAAAAGCTACCAGTCTGGACATTGTAATTTAGAACCTAGCAAAGTCTTCACCCCAGTCAATGGTTTTCCATATTTTTATTTTCTCTTACTCCTTCTCTATTCTTGATTCTGCACCCCAATTAAAATGCTTGAAATAAATTCCTGGAACTACTCCATCTTGGCAAGTTCTCAACTTCTCTCTCAGCACAGGGACACACTGAACATCCTGAGCAGAAAGTTTCTCCCACCACACCATTCACTAAGTTTGGGCTTATATAAAACAAAATGATTTGTTGAAGAGACAGACGTTCTAAAATCAGGAAATTTGATAAGACTTAGCTAAGGAGCATTATTACATTCCTAATTAATTTTCCTAGAGGGTTAGGTTTTCAAGGCGTATGAAATCAATGCAGAAAAAAACCCAATTATATTGTAGAATGTAGCCTGTGCAACATCCGAAATTCTTGTTCTATTCAATATGGCCACAGAATGTACCATCTTATTCATGCAGTTCTTTAATCAAAGGTTGTATGAGGTCATGTGTATCATGTGAACTTGAACCAGTTGCCATTGATGGTTTACAGCAGATTTGAAAGCTAAATGTACAAAACCAGCCAGGCAGGCAAGTGTCCATTTCTTTCTACAGTGGAGCAAACACAGTATTGTATTACTACCAGCAGGTGGTGTGATTATAAATATCTTAGTAATTCTCATATTCAGGGAAATAATATGTAATATGTTTTTTCTGTGTGTTTGTGTGTGTGTAAAATTATAAATATATATTTCAAATGTGTTTTTAAATTTAATTATGCCTTGCAACAATATAGCCCATTGAATTAGGAATGTATTTTGAAAATAAGTGGAGAAAATAAATGCATAAAGATGCTATCTCCATTATTTCCCCTAAAATCTGTATCCAGTTTACATGTTTTGCACCTGTGCACTGTATTTATCTGATTTTATTTCACTTACATGGCTATAATATTGCTACTTGGCATATGAATATCTCAGTCAATTGCAGTATTTTCCTGTATGGTTTCAGGAATTGAATTCCAGTTATTTAAATCACAAAAAAATTGTAATTTAACAAATGTATCAGAAATACAATTCACTGAATACTGAATTTCAATGATACAATTTGGCAAAAATGTTTTAAACTGTAATCTCGAAGTGATAGCATCTATATTGTCGTCCCTCTGATGTCTATAAAGGGCTGTAGCCTTATGGAGGAGAATTAGCAAAGAAACTTTTTTTTCCTTTTAGTGATATATGAGGAGACCCCATAATTGCAGACCACTTCTGTGGTCCAATACCATATGACAACTGCTGTTCTGTCAGGTAAAATAAAACTAAATAGAAATATGTAGGAATGATAGACAGATATAGATAGGTATAGATAGATAGAATGACAGAGACACCAACATTTATTTGCTTTAGTGTGATAATCTAATGTGTTAAGGCTAGAAATAGAACACCCAGGGGTTCACAGGAAACTCACAGTGGGCCTTTCAATCCACAACCTGATCAACTTCACAGGATGACCGTTCCTTGGAAATGAGTAAGAGAGAATTTTTGCATCCCACCTTGAGTTCTTGGAAGAAAGGTTGGGTGAAAGTTTAACAAATGATACATATTATGAGTCCAGTGAAAACCTCCATTTTTGCCACTTTCCAGTTTTTCTCACTTTAATTATAAAAGGGAAACATCACCTACCTGATTAAATAAAATAGAAATAGTGGCCTGATATACAGTACACTGTAATTAGCTTAATGTTCATGTTGAGTCATAATGGTTTACAAACCATTTTGCAAACATTCTATTCTTTCGTATTTAGGGTATCTAAGATAACTACTTATCTGACATGCAATATTAAGAATTTTTGAGCCTCATCATTACAGCTGAAAGAAATTATATACTGTATATACTCGAGTATAAGCCTAGTTTTTCAGCCCATTTTTTGTGCTGAAAAAATCC